GCCACACTTCTGCCCTTCTCCCCGGCGGCATGCCATGGGACAGGATTAGCACGCCCCGCAGAGACCTATAGCTCGCTCCCATCACTCGTTTCCCTTGGCCATAAATGTCTTGCGATGGTGGGCGAGCTCCACCCTGCCGCCGTACACGCGAGCGAGCAATGAATGCCAAGAAGTTTTTCCGGAGTTTCCATGGATCAGTGTACGCGATTGTGAGTGAGGTGCGTATCGCAGCCGCAACGCCCACGGAATGGTTTTGATAGCGTACTGAATTGGGCACGCAGGAGGCGACCTGACTGACACCCGTGAGCAGGCCGTGGGGACGCCGTGTATAAATGTAAGCCCATGGCCATGGATTTGGAGGCCCGGAGCCCGTCTAGCTTTGGACCTCTGTCTTTCGCCCTCTTGCACTTTCTGCCTCCAACTCTACCGCAGACGAGATGGCTATTGGTTCCGGACCTGGTAAGGGGGCAGACAACCCTATCAACAGGCTTGTCGAAAAGGACACCGTCCCATGGTACAAGAAGCCGAATCTGCGCATGTTGTACATCCTCATGTTCCCAACATGTATCGGTATTGAGATGACAAGCGGGTAAGCCACAAGACATGTTATCGTACATGATAGACAGACTAACGGATGGGTATGGATCAGTTTCGACTCGTCGATGATGAACGGCTTGCAGGCAGTGCCCTCATGGGATAACTGTGAGTTGATTGACCGACTTCGATCTTCACTGCGGCTGATTCTTCGTGCAGTCTTTAACCATCCAAGATCAACGATTCTCGGTCTGCTCTCATCGCTGTACTCTCTGGGCTCGATGTTCTCGCTCCCCTTTGTACCACTCGTAACGGACCGCTATGGACGGCGCGCAGCCATCATATTCGGCAGTGTGGTAATGGTCATCGGAGCTGCCCTTCAGACGGCATCGCAGGATTGTGCGTATAACAGACGCCCTTTGAATCGACGAGGATAATCTGGCTCACCTATGGCCAGTTGCTATGTTCGTCGTTGCCCGATTCTTGCTCGGGTTTGGAATTCCATTCGCGATTGTCGCTGCATCCTCCATGATTGGTGAGCTCGCATACCCGAAAGAGCGTGCCCGCATCGGCTCTCTGTTCAACGCATCGTGGTTCATCGGTCAGTTCCCCGCAACGTTTTGATTGTGAGCGCCTTTCTGACGTCGCATTTGAACAGGTGCAATTGTTGCCGCGGGCGTGACATTGGGCACGTTCGCTATGCCAAACAACTGGGCCTGGCGCATTCCGTCCATCCTCCAAGTCACCCCCAGTGCACTCCAGCTGATTTTCGTCTGGTTCCTACCCGAATCCCCAAGGTACGTGCCTCTACGGCAATGCGCGAACGCCTTCGACTGAGACGCATGTGCCGAAAGATGGCTTGTCTCGAAGGGCCGCGGCGAAGAGGCATACGCAATCCTCGCCAAGTATCACGCAGAGGGCGACCTCGACTCCGAGTTCGTTAAGCTCGAGTATGCTGAGATCGAGACGACGCTCGAGCTCGAACGCGAACAAGGCAAGGGCCGCTGGAGGGATTTCGTCGCCGCTCCAGGCATGCGGAAGCGGCTGCTCATCTGCTCGTTCCTCGGGCTCGCGACGCAGTGGTCCGGGAACGGCCTCACGTCCTACTTCCTCGCGCGGATCCTCGACAACGTCGGCATCCACGACGACCGCACGAAGAACCTGATCAACCTCGCGATGACGTGCTGGGGCTTCGTGAACGGCACGACGCTTGCGCTGACGGTGCCGAAGATGCGCCGGCGCTCGGCGTACTTGACGTGTACGATCGTCTTGACGCTGATCTTCACGGGATGGACGATTGCCAGTGCGGAGTACCAGAAGACAGGCAGCCAAGCTGCGTCGCGTGCGGTGATTGCGTATGTGCTCTTCGAGAGAGCTCCGCGTAGCGGATGTGATCTGACATATTCACCACTCTCGCAGCTTCATCTTCCTCTACAGCCCAGCATATAACATGGGCTATAACGCACTCACATACAGTACGCATCCCTCCATCCCAGCCCTCGAGCCCGGGCCTCACTAACCTCCGCGCCACGACGCACAGCGTACCTCGTCGAGCTCTTCCCGTACCACGCGCGCGCCAAGGGCATCGCCGTCTTCCAGTGGTGGGGCCGCGCCGCGGGCTTCTTCAACCAGTTCGTGAACCCGATCGGGATCCAGAACGCGGGCTGGAAGTACTACATCTCGTACTGCCTCTTCCTCCTCTTCGAGGTCATCTTCGTATGGTTCCTCTTCCCCGAGACGTCGCGCCGCTCGCTCGAGGAGCTCGCCTTCTGTACGTCATTGTTATCCATCATTTTGGCATATTGATAGAAGAACAAACGTACTGATGGACATCCCACTAGTATTCGAAGGCGAGGCGCTTCGCGAAGAGCAGCATAAGCGCATCAAGGAAGAAGTGGAAGATAGTAAAGTGACTATACCGGACAACCTGAGCGATAAGGGGAGCGCAGTTCACGTAGAGCATAATTAGATTGTACAACGACGGAATATGTAAGCATATCTCGAGCGGCTCTTGTCTCAATCCAACTTACTCTAACGGAGAAACCGTCATGTTGGCAAAACATGCGATCGATGTCCTCACCCCTTGAGAAACCGGTGCCGGATTTGAGGGTTCCGAATAAGATACGCCTTGGTCGATACCTGATGTCTGTGAAACAACAGCATCATATGTTGCGACAAAAGCAATACAATTGAGTACCAAGGGGAGTAGCCTCGCCACAGCTCGTCTCCTGGAGATGATCATCCATTGCGTCCAAGAATGTAGTACATCATCTTCAACAACAATATCCGTCAACCAAGGAGAAGAACCTCTCATCGTCCGCGTCAGCTCTTGAGCTGCCTTCGTGTTGTCCTCGGTTTAGCTTCCCGACCCCGACGAGGTCAAGTACGCACCTGACAATTAGCGAGCTCCTGGACGCTGAGTGCATACAGAAGCTTCTAGCTCTGCGTCATTGTGATGGTGGAACAAGGAGTCGCGCCCCATACTGAGCACTCTCTCCTCGGGAGCGCGATGCACCCGCTGATCTCCTTCCCACATTATTGTCCATCCCTCTTGTCTGAACTTCGCTGAGGTGTAAACCATCCTGTTGGATGAGTAGGTATAAATGTTACTGGCGTGCCCATCCGTGGACTGGCATTCACCAACCACTGTTCGAACTCGAGCATTTCTGCATTCAAACAGCACTCCGAAGCACTCGTCACTCTCGCTTGACCGCACTGCCATGTCCAAGTTTCTGCGCAAGCTCCTTGGTAAAGAGAGCTACCCCATTGTGGTGTCTCAGTACAAGAGGAGCAACTTCGGGGTCGGAAACGAAGAAGACCTGCACTGGGCGATCGTCATCATGACTGACGAGGACAAGCTCGAAGGGCGCATGTATCAAGCAGTCAATCGCATCAACGACACTCGTGATGGGGTGACTTGGGACATCTCCACTGCCGAGAAGGTCTCTTTGGAGAGGTCCTCTAGGTGTCTTGGAGGCGTTTGCATCGGCGTCGTCAAGCAGAAGGAGCTGTCGACGCTTGACAAGGTTCGTGGCCGTTCAGCCTGACGGACGCATGGGCGTGTCACTTACGGATCTCAGGCCCTTCTCGAGAACGCCCCTCTCGCCAAGTCCACCGAATGGAACTGCCGCGACTGGGTCATGGAGTGCATCGCCATCATGAAGGATGGTGGATGGGTGGCCGATGGCATCTATCGTCAGCAAGATCTGATTCCTGCTATGAAGCAGGCCAGTGCCCTGACGGTAGAAGTGGGCCAACCCGCTCTAGTGGATTTCGATGGTGCTTGATTATTCAAGCACGCGTTCGAACCTCCAACAGGTTTTCTGTACGAGTATCTGTCATTGTGATTCTGTAACTCGGCCCTTCTCGAACTTCCGTACGACAATGCATGCATATATGATGAGCGAATTGCACAAGAGCTCCCGGCTCGCTGCACACCACCCAGACGCTGAATAGTCATGCCGATGCGTTCCTCGGTGGAAACTGGTGAACGTGATTAGCATGTCTGTCGGTCCATAGACACTCCGCGAAACCTACCTCCTCAGTAACCTCCCACAATGTCCTCCGATAGTTCGTGATCCAACAGCCACTCCGGAGTATAGTCCTTGCCGAAGAGTTGCTCGACCATCGAATCCCATAACTCTGCAGCCGGATGGAGGTCAGGGGGACACCATTTGGCCTTGATGAACTCCCAGTGCTCGGCGTGCCAGCCAGCTTGTTGCCAATCCAGTAGGGCAACAACACTGTCCCCTTCTACCATGATGTTACGCGGAGCGATATCCCCATGGGTGAATACAATATCATGGGTGACACACATGCGGGAGCGAAGCTTGGCAAGGTCAGCTTTGGACTTGAAAGGAGCTGATGTTTGAAGGAGACGATCGTTGAACGCCCCCTCGTCGACAAACGGGCCGACAGGACCACAGGTGGTGATTCGACTGTCGACGAGAGCCCCCCCATTGAGCGCGCAAATCGAGGGCCCGTGCGGAGATTTCAAGGTGCGAAGCTGAGACAGAAAGGACTGCAGCTGCTGGGTAATCTTCGCTTGCTGGGCGGGATCGAGAGTGTGTAGAACCCTCTCCAAAGTGTGGCCGTGAACCCTCTTCATGATCAAGAAACGACGCCCATATCCGTCGACCGAAGCTACGATGTGTGGAGTTGGAATAGATGTGTGGCGTCTGACAAAACTGATAATGTCGCTTTCCGGGACTCCTTCAGAGGAGGCTACTTTGAGCAGGAGCCCGAAGGGTAGCTCAACGATTCGACCTTGGCGACGTTTCCCTCTAAAACAACGACAAAGCCATAAGTATAGCTGCAGAACTGTTGCGAGCATCGATGGATGTAGCTTGGCCAGGGTGGTGGTAGGAATTGACTGAATCTCTTAACTTGAACCTATTCGAATGTGGTAGGTAGAACAAGATCTTTCTCATAATACATAGCTGTATGTGCAGTTAATTCATTACTAATCCCTGGTAGTATATCGGTTAGTACACGCGCCTGTCATAAAATTCGCCCGCGCGAAAGCGGGGTTCGACTCCCCGCCAGGGAGCGATCGCTTTTTGATCCTCGGATTGTGCTCTTCGGTGGAGGGATTCATGATAAGTGAAGCGTTGGAGCTTTGAAGTTCTCGGTGGGTTGAGGTCGGGACGTGTACGAAGTCGGAAGATGCACTACTGATATATCTATCTTGAGGGAGAACACCAGGCGACAGCGTTGATGCATCGCCATTGACGTTGGTGCACGAGACGTTCGCTACGGAAGTCCATGACGGTATATAGCGGTATATAGTGGTGTACACACAGCTCCAGTACAACAAGATCATCCGAGTCCAAACACCGAGAGCGTCCCGTAAAGCATTCCTCCCTCGCGACTGCGTCACAAACACATACCCACCCGCGACAACCTACAGCACCACAAACCTTACGCAATGTCGGATATACACATGCGGGGAAACAGCGGAACTATGCTGGCCCTTCAAGTACCCGCGACTAGTGCTCAGATACTCAGTCGTCGCGCTGGGCGAGTCCGACGGTCTTCTCCGCCTGGTTGACTGTGAAATTGTCTCGTTTAGCCATCGTTCAAATGTCGCAATGAGAGACGGGCATCCGATGGAACAGGGAGCCCAAAGCGGAGAAAGCAACACTGACAGACGACGTAGACGGACTTGAGGAACACGTCCCCGAAGATGTCAAAGTCGAGGTCACCACGGCTCTGGATGCCGCCGAATGTGTAGCCGTCGCCCGCATCGCCGAACGCGATGTCCTGCGGGTTCACCTAGCGTAGCAAATGGCGCTGTGTGTCAGCGGAGATCAAGAATAGAGAGGACGATCAGAAGGACTGGGAGAAGCAAGGGGGTGCGGAGAAGCGTAGGTGGAAATAGACGGGGTGTGAGGAAGTATGAAGGTGGGAATGCGGGGACGGACCTTGTAAAGCGTATTTCCGACAGCGAAGGAGACCTCGGGGATGGTCGCGTTGGAGGGGTACTTGTAACCGCCCTGCTGGTCGTCGTAAGTGGCACCCTCGATGGCACCTACGAAGTATGAGTATTTTGCAGCTTCGAAAAAGCACCTCGGGTTGCTACGTACCGTAGATCGCGTCCACAACGTCGTCGGCGACGAGGAGGAGGGTGGTACCGGTGTCAAGGATGGTGGTGTTACCCGAGCGCTCCTTGGTTTCACCGTTGAGCGTCCAGCTGGTCGACTGGACCTGCCAGAATCCCTGAGAGCTATCGTAATGAAACGTAGTCAGACATGCGCAGGAATACGCCACGAAAGGTACACACTTGTCAACCGGGGTGTAGGTGATCGGGTTGGGCGTCACGGAGGTGTCGATGAATCCTGGAGGTATTGTTTGTGAGCAAATATTATCGCCGTGGTACGACAACGGGGTGTAAGCTGACCGAAGGAGTAGAATCCGGCCTCTTCGCCGCGGCCAAGTTTGACGGTGAACACAGGCTGCGGAAGTGAATATGGGCTATTCGCTGTGCAGTCGATCCAGGTACACTCACCGGGTTGATCAACTTCTTGTTGATCATGTTCTCCACCGGGGTAGCGACCGGCTCGGGCTGGACAGTGTTGATCTGGGGCCACGCGAGGCCCAACAGACCGTCGTTTCCGCCGTCCTGGAGGAAGCTTGCGCTAAGCTTCTCGGCGAGCTCGATGGCTTGACCCTCGATGACCACATCCGCCACGGTGACGGTATCGGTGTAGACGTTGCCCGAGGCCGAGGAGCCGTCACCATAGCTGATGTTCCAGGTGCCGGACGCCTTCTTCGCGGTGGACGACTTGGTGGGGTCGTAGATGGTGTGACCCTTGGACTGCCGCGAGGCGCGCGATAGCTCGGAGCTGTGGAGCGGTGTCAGGTATTTCCGTGCAGACAGGTAGAGACGCGACGGTACAGACCTCCAGACCCAGAGGTCGGAGGAGCCGGTATCGAAGTCGAGGTTGAGCGTGACGCCAGGGGTGCCAATCTTGACCGGAACAACGTATTCGAGGCTAGCAACGAGGTGAGCATGTGCTTCATCGACGTCATTTCCAAGAGGTGCGTGTGCACTTACTCTGATTAGGGCATCAGTTTGGGGGCGTTGCGGTGAACATGCGACAAGACAGTGAGTTCAGAGCGGTGGGTATAGAGAGGCGGAAAGCGGGCGAGGCCTACCGTTCTGGATAGATTCTGCGGGGACCTCGTGCTCGGTGTCCTTGTTGTGCTTGCTCTTGACCTTGACAACGACATTGTTGCGTTTAGCAAAGCCGGCGTTGCGGCCAGTCTCGAAGCCATAGCGGCGTGCAGCACGCGCATAGGCAGCAGAGAAGGACGGACGCTTTCCGCCCTTGTAGATTTCGGGACGAACGAGCTGGTGGAGCTTCATGGTTGTGGAGGACTGAGAAGTGGACTTTGATGATATGCAGCCCATGGTGGAAGGGTATATATGTGTTTCTGGAGGAAGAGGTGACGTATGTGCGACGGACGATGTGACGCAAGGAGGACGGGAGCTAAGACTTGATGCCGACAGGTGGTGTGGCGGTAGCTAAGTCAGAATGGTGACAGGCACAGACGGGGTGAGGATGAGGGGCGCTGAGGTGAAGGTCGAGAGCGGTTGCTGAGAGAGAGAGAGGCGCCACCGGAGGAAGAGGACGAGGATGAGCGGACGAATGGGCCATGGCTCTTATCGTCCCAGCTCATCCCCGTCTTCTTCTTCTCCGCAGATGTCCCCTGGCCAGTTCCGAACAGAACTTCCGCAGAGTTGTCCTCTTCCAGCCATCTCCCAAAGGCCACCACCTCCTCGCATCTCTAGGCAACCCTCCCCCAGGCCGCTCGGGCGCTGCAGGACGGAGGTGAGTGCTGTGACATGCAACGGCGTCAGTCAAGCGATGCTGTAGAAAAAAGGATATGGACGCCTCTTGTGAGAGAAGCTGGCTGGAGAGGGTGCATGCAGGGAGCACGTCACAGGAAGCAGAGAAGAGAAGATCTGATTTCAGTTCTGGATCATGCCAGCTGCCCCGGGTCCGCATGCGTCATACTAGATCCTCGCTTGTTTCCTGCCTTGCCTTTCTGGGCTCCTTCACTACGAGCGGCTCCTATCCTCCCCTGCTGCTGTCTCTACGCGTTCTCTCTGATATCTCACTCGTAACTCTGTGACGACAGCACTTTGATTCGATTCTGCTTTCAGAACACGTCCACACGAATTCGCACCTCTTGCACACCCCAGTATGCGAGCATGTGATCCACAGACTGGTACTGGCATACAAGGGACTGCAAGCTCCCCCGCGTCTGAGAAGCAAGCATGGCATGAAGCAGCCTCGATCAGACGAAGCGTGATATCTATTTGAATGTATGCTGCGGATCGCCCAATGCGAGTAGCCTCGGGATTCTGCGACTGTAGCCCCACGAAGCTTCCCTTCTCGTCGGCTCTCGATGCGGCACTGGATCTCGACGCCCCGAACGCCCCAGGCGTCAGACCTTCATACGTGAGCGAAAAGGCGGTCGTTTTTGAAAGCATGCGCCGATACGATGGCTTGCGAATGCATGCAGCGCGCAAACCAGTGTCAGGTGAGTCCTGGTCAGAGCTACATGAAGCATCCGGTGTCCCATCCCGTGCGACAGTTACTCCTTGTTCTTGCCGCTGTCCATGCATACTGCGATAGCATGCTTCCTTGTGTGCTCACGGCCATTGTACCTCCGGATTACGAACGCACTCAAACCTGCTATGGCCGTCAATATCTCCTAGGATATGTCACCGAACCTGCATGCTGTCTGCATAGAATCCTCAGTCTTAGCCATCGTCCCACTTGCACCGTCGCCAAGCGTGCATCGTCTTCTGCGCTCACCTATTTCTGATATTTGTAAGACTATGCATGAGGGAAGTCAGATCCTTGTGGACCATTGAAGGTGAGTACCTACACAGACTCCCGCGCTCCGTCGAGAATGCTATGGGGGACCAGGTGCTACAAAGGTAGTCATACGCATCGAGGGCGGAGACCCATGCGGGTGGCCAGCGAATGCGCTCCGTGAGCAGACGAACGTTCTAGTGGACAGCTGTAGTTTGGTGCCGGCTTTCACGGCTTTCTACAAACAACACTTGTGCCGATTTCAGAGACAAGCTCGGTCAGCGCACCGACACGAAAGAGGTAAGCCTCCTGCCTTATCCAGCTCACCTCCTATCCCGAACCTGCGACATAAATTCTCGATCGCGTGGTGACGAACATATCTATCACGATCAACTTGTTTTTGGCGTGGACCAGCCCGAGACGTGCCACCAGCTTGGGCCACAGCTCGGGCTCTGGCAGAGTAACAATGACGCAATCAACGAGGGACACTGTTGAGGGGCATTATATATTCCGCCCTCGCGCACCGTCCGCCGGGTTTGTTCCTCCCGCTCCTTTCACGTCGCCTTGCATGCATCCGCATCTCCTACACCAAGCCGAAATCTGGACCCCTCGCAAACTCGCAGATGAGCGACTCAGATGACTCGGAGTCGTTGCATGTAAAATGGGCGGATGTAAGTGAATACTTTTATTTGCTATACAGGGCAGTCAGCAGGCGAAGGAATTCGCGAAGTCTGTGCGAGCGAAACCCACACACGGATAGCCAGTAACTAACTCGCCATTGCGAATCTTCGTCGTTGTGTATACATAACGAAGAGTGCAGAGTGCCCAACCTCTAAGCGCTGGCCTTGACGCGTCGCGTCGCGCCCTCGTGACTCGAGCCACGTGGCAACCTCGAGGTTCACATTCTTTCCCTCCCGAGCAGACACGGTATGGCTGCCTTGAGTCTCCAGCTCAATCTGGCCACCTCGCCGTAGCTGGACGTCTCCTCCATGTGCTTATCTTGCGACGCCTGCTTGTAGATATACCCCACTTACCTTCTGCTTTGCCTTCGAAATCTCATTTCGCACACTTCCGCCAGTCTAAGAACCTGATGGGTAATAACCCAAGCCGCTCTACGGACACACGATCTAGATCGGCATACTCTCGCTCTCGCTCGTTTTCAAAAGGAGGATGGAACTCTGGTCGACGGAGGATCGAGTATGGGCGAGATGAAGACATGTAC